AAATAGAACATTATCATCTGTTGGTGTAGACACTAATATAGTTATTGTATCTTTAACATTATCGTTTTAGGGGTGAACGGCCCTCAGTATTTTTGTCTTGTTTACCTTAGATAATGATACGTTTACTTAGAGCTACATAACAAAAGATACTGTCTTGTAAAATGTATCAATGTTTTTTTTTAGTTTATGCTTAAAACAAGAAAAAAAAGAAGATATTGGCAGATATTGTTTTCTTGTTTTAAGCAAAACCTCACCGCATTTTTAAGAAAGCAAGACTTATCTTAAGTAAATGTATGTTCATTTAAGAATGTTTTGATGTTTGCACTGGAAAACAAGACAAAAATATTGAGAAAGAAAATAATTTGTTGCAGTGGAAAGTTTTTGTTGGAGATCAGAGATGCTGAGAGCATTAGTTTGAGAAGAAAAGAATCTGACATGGTGCTAATTATATTGACGGCAAATTCAGAGCAGATGTGTGGCCATTAACTCATTGACACATTTGACAGAATCTTCAAACACCCATTTGCACACAAACAAAGGTCTAATACCACCCTGTTTTGACATGCACAAACCATATCACATCGGCCTCCCTGTCTTTTATCGGCTGGTGATGGCTGTGTCATGGTTTTTCTGATCAGAAGCTCTGCTAATGGCAATAACGAGAGCAGAGCTAATGAGGGACTGTGCATAGACGCAGATGACAAGGCCACAGATTATGCTTGATTGTATTTGCAGTCGCCCCCATGCTGCTAGTCAGATCCACTGTTATTTTAGTATTATTTATATTCTGTTAAAGTATTTATTAATATTTAGAATTGTATATATATATATATATATATATATATATATATATATATATGTTTTTTTTTTTATATATATTCACACACATACATGTACATATATATATATATATGTTTTCATTTTAATATACATTTTATTAATTAATAATTACAACTTAAAATTAAAACTTAAATGTTTCTATCTTTATTTATTTTTATTTTATTCCATTCCAGCTTGTTTTCAATTAATGGAAATCATTTTTAATAGTTTTGGTTTTAGTTGACAATAACAACACTGATGATGACTCAAAGAAGCACAGTAACAATCCTAACAGCTTTCACAGATTCTGTGCAATGATTCTGGGTGGTTGCTTAGTAGCCCAAGTCAAGATAGCCCACCGTCACGAATGTGATATTTCTGTATGTGATATATATATATATATATATGTGAATGTGACTGTAGTCCCTCTTTCAGTCAGTGAAATTGTTTTGGCCTTTTTGTCATCTGCCAAGTGAAGATCTTTAGTCAGATCACTTAGTAATAATATGGTAAAAAAAGAAAGAAGCATAAATTAATACCACCAAAGTTGAATATTAAAACTCCTAAGCATAGCCTTCAAGGGCATCACTTAAAAATATAAAACAAGGTTCTGGAGGTCTGCTGTCCCGCAGAGTTTAGCTCCAAACCTGATCAACATCACCTGCCTATAATAACCCTCTTGTAATGCTGAAGAACATGATTTGCTTGCTCTGGTGTGTTTGATTAGAGTTGAATTTAAACTCTGCAGGACAATGGACCTCCAGGGCCAGATTTGATGAACCCTGAAAAAATAAAACATGAATATTTCTGGCTCTAAATTCAAAGCTGTTTTAAGATTTTGCAAGCAATTGCCTCAGCCGAGAACACAATGTTGAGTACACACAGCAAGCCATCAGTTCTCAACAATATATTAAGACCAACTGTTTTGAGTTGTTTTGTCTATATTTTGTCTCTTTTGTTTATATTGATTTTATTACAATCACAGTTGATTTTCATTGTTCTAACATAAAAATTAGGGTTAATCCTTTGTTTGGCTTGCTGAAAGTGCAGTCTGTAAGTTTCCAGGCAAATCAACTTCTCCTGTATGCTGAGATGGTCTGGTTCTGTTTTGATCTACTGGCTCACATCAATGGCTGATTGCGTGTGCACCTTTGATGTACAGAGAGAGTTTGATGTGACTTCACCAAACACTGGCTGACCTTTTTTTTTTTTTTGCTGATCGTGAATACCACATGCCAATTTGTTCAACCATCATGTCATTTGATGTTTTCATCAAGCGTCAGAATTATTTTACCATGCCTGCCAAACTCTCCGCTCACTCCTCTCGTAACTCTCTGTGTTGAATGGAAAAGACTGTCTGCATCCATTTCTTCACGTCTGTAATCTCAAACTCCCGTCTTTGTTGTGTGTCCAGGCTTTTGCTTAATCTGAAACCGCCATCGTCTCCATGAGCATGTTTTATATGAAATGCTGTTTTCAGAGTATCCGGTTTACAATTGTGGATGTCTTTTGGGACTGTGATGGACTGTGGTAACTTTGTCTTTCTCTTTGTCTTCTGATTGGTTGGATTTTCACCACAGGAAACAAGGGCAAGTACTGCACCCTTCTCTTCTCAGACCTTTGTGTTTTATTTCATTCATCAGTTGTTGTATCATTTATTTTCAGTGTCATTTGCATGCATCTATTTTTATCCTTTTTTTCCCCAGAGCGGTCATGTCACATCTGTGTGTGTGTTTTATCAAAATAATGTCACTTCTCAAAAGTGCATTTAATTTTTAATTTGTTTTAATCTATAAACATTCATTCTGCATGCAGTTAATTACTGCTTTTGTTTGTTTATGATGCCAGCTTTTCCTGTAAAACATGTTCAGTCAAATCAACTGATATGGGTTTTTCAATGGACAATGCTGATACCAGTAACTAGAGATTAGTATGGCTGCTAAAATGCTGATATGTTATATCCCTGTTGACAAAAATCATCTTAAACCAGCCTAAAATGGTTAGATGGTCTCCCCATGCTGGTCGTTTGACTGGTTTAAGGGGGGTTTTGGGCTGTGGATAACAGCTAGACCAGCTGAAGACTGGCTTGGCAAGGCTGCAAGACCATCTTAAACCAGTTTAGGCTGGTCTTGTGCATGTTTTTTTCAGCAGGGAAAGACTACTACAATTGATTTAACATGCCAGCTTCTTTTGTAAAACGTGTTGGGTTTTTCCAATGGCCAATGCTGATACCAATAACTAAAGATTGGCATAGTTGCTACAATGCTGGTGTGATTTCCCTTTTGGGAAAAAATAATTTTAAACCAGCCTAAAATGGCTTGACTGTTTTTGTTGGTCTCCCATGTTGGTCTTTGTACTGGTTTTAGTGAGTTTGGGCCTGTGGATAACAGTTAAACCAGCTTAAGACCAGCTTGGCAAGGCTGCAAGACTAACTTTAGGCATATTTTTACAGCAGGGAAAAACTAGTACATTTGAATTAAAGCAGTTGAGATCTACATATACATTGAAATAACATTTTGTTATGCCATGTTTACTAGTATTTCACTTGGATAGTTCTCAACTCAACTCAACTTTATTTATAAAGCACCAATAAAAACAACGATTGTTGACCAAGATACTGTACAGTCAATCAAATATCAACAACATTAGCACTCAGAACAACATAAATTACAGCACAGGACAGAGCTGGCACACCACAATTAACTACAGTTAAAAGCCAGAGAAAAAAGATCGGTTTTGAGTTTGGCTGTAAACTCATTCAGTGTAGAGGCAGTTCTAATAGAAACCGGTAGGCTGTTCCAGAGTTTCGGAGTAGCAACAGCAAAGGCTCAGTCGCCTCTTGATTTCAATATAGCCTGAGGAATGTTTAATAGTCTCTGGTTGGAAGACCTAAAAGACCTTCCAGGATTGTGAGCAGATAATAAATCAGACAGATATACAAGAGTTAACCCATTCAGAGCTTTAAAAACCAGCAGCAGGACTTTAAAATCAAATACTGGGGTTATGTGCTCTCGTTTACGCACACCAGTAAGGAGCCTAGCAGCAGCATTTTGTACCATTTGAAGTCGATTAAGAGATGCTTGATTAATACCCATGTAAAGGAAATTACAGAAATCGAGCCTCGTTGAAATAAAAGCATGAATGTCCCTTTCAAAGTCCTTATAACAAAGAAATGGTTTCACTTTAGCTAAGACTGAGATGGAAAAAAATGGTTTTCACTACTGTACTAATCTG